TGTACAAGCACTTTATCACACTTGGAATTTAGCGCCTATTGGTCTCTGGATTTGAGGCTTAAGGCTCATCACGCGCATCCCGTAGTACAGCATTAGGGTTCAGAGAATAGGGTTTGGAATGTAGGGTTCAGGATTTTGGGTTTGCCCTTAAGGTTCGAGCTTCCGGTTCCGGCGTTGGGGCCGCAGGTTTACGGGCTGAGGTGTCTGCCACACTGTCATATGAGATAGCGCAAGGCCTAACTGGTTTCATATTGCGTTAGTGAGTGGCATGTCGCTGCAGGCCAACAACTCACTGTATCTAAGAACATCACCAAACTTTCATCATCCGTTTGGGGAGGTCAAGAACAGCAACCAAGAACCATAGCCCCCCTTAGCTAGATAGAATATGGGTATGTGGGGATAGTGTTATAATATACCCAAAGCCATATTCTATCTACTCAATGGGGACTATACTCCTCATGCCGTAGGTTCAACCCCCTATCTAACTCGAGGTTGAATTTGCTGCCACGTCCCCAGATATTAAACATCCGCCCACCCCCGAAAGCGACGTCTTCCCTTTGAAAGACGGTCAACAAATTTGAGGTGCATATCTATAATGTTAGGAGGATGAGGGTGTGGGGGGGAGGCGGTAAGAAAAGGAACGTAAAGGCAAGCAGTTTTGTTTCAGGAGTCTAGGTCATCCACATACCTTTACCTATTTCAACGGCCTATGTCTCAGGCTGGCAACGACTCCCCAAGTCCTAAAGCCCCAAACGTTGATTGGTGCCGTAAAAAAACTATAGGCCCTTGACACTGAACGAATTAGACACTACAAAGGCCAAGGCGCTGTCCCATAGAGAGGGGACCCAGAGCAAGGGCAGGAGCAGCCCCATCCTTGTCTTTGGGACATTGGTTTTTTGGATTTACATGCTGGGATTCGGGATATGCGGATTCTACTCAAAAATTGGGTGGCGAGGTCCAAGTTGGGGAGTCCAGGGGCAGGTGGTTGGGTTAATAAGGTTCAAGGTCTAGGGTTACGGTCCCTCTGCTGGGGAGTTTGTTGCTTCAAAGGTAGATGTGCTTTGAGGTGAGTCAGGGTTGAAGTAGTCATGTCGTTTGATAATCTACTCGTCGCCTCTTTCGTAGCCTTTTATACATGGGGCTTCCATTCATTCAATAGGTAGCTACCCATGAACTTGCAAATACCTACAGTAACAGTAGAAAGACAAGAGAAAGGTTTTGTACAAAGCTTGTTTGTTATGAGTACTTATGAGTAGAAGGGGTTACTTGAAGTTTGCTGCAGTACGGTTTCAACTAGCCATGTATAGAGATTGGGGACATTCAACTATCACAAGGATCGTGCCCCTAGCTGCTTTGTGACGACATTCGCGAAGACGGCGGCTCGCGGGCGCCCCATCCCTCTCACTAAACCGATGATGGTCATGACGATCCTGGACACCGTGGCCCACTGCCCTCCCATGGAGTATAAGATCTATAGTGACTATACCGAGACACGGTGACAGGAAAACATATACCGAGCTTGTTAACCCAAATAATTCGAATATTAGAAATGATGAAGACATATCTGAAAAACTGCAGATATGATTCGGGACTGATGGATTAGGACTTAGCACAAAGAAACATTGTGCGGAATCTGGGCCGCCCCCAGCGTAGCATTCAAGGCCACATGTCCTTATTCATGGTTGGGGTCAAAAACTGGCCCAAAATGCAGAGATTGTAGTTTGCAACCTGTTGGAGCCGGAGCATTTGCAAGCGAAATGCTTGGTGCACTAGCCGGCGCCCAATCCCGGACCCCCAGCAGTAAGAAGAGGTAGCAGTCAAAACGTAAAAGTGAAGGTCCTCCAATCGTAAACCCTACTGCACCCTAGACCTTATAAACTCTATAGAGCCTAAACCCTAACTTGTGCAAAAACACAGCCCTTTTGGTTGGAACCTGCACCATGATATGGATATTTCTCTTCAGGTCGCCCTATCCATCCACAGGCAAAGCGGTTTAGAGTTTAGGGCAACCGTGTAGTTCCAGGGTCTTACAGAGTCTTACACATCATGAGCCCTGCAGCATGTAAATTCTAAGCCCCGACCCAGTCCGAAACCCTATCAGGATGTATCAGGTCCCAACAAAAATGAATCCAGCTTGAAAGCTATCGAAGTGATAGGCATCTACACCTCAAAGCTTAAATTGCAATTTCCGCCGCCCCCCCACTATAGATCCCAACGTACCGCAATCCTTATTGCATGAAATCTATCAAACATGGTTCCTGTCTGCTAAAAATCCCCATCTAGGCCTCTATAGCCCTGAATCTATTTGTAGCCCGGCCTACCTATAGTTGTGCATCTAGCCATCTAACCGACATGACAGCCCCCAAGCCCCCAATAGGTTATAACTGGGTTGAAAATACAATCAGGATTGGATTCCAAACCCTAGGTCCTGCCCTATATATAATCCCATATAAACCTATGAATATTGTATAATCCAATCAAACCCTATAAATGTTGTATAATCCCATTAAACCCTATAGATATCATAGAATCCCATATAACTTAGGAGGAACCCCACCCTGTAATAGTGGTATAATAAGAATATAAGAGGACCCTACTATAATTACCATTCTCCTTTATAGTCACTATTACTGATATTACTGGGTGGGGGGTCCACCTAACATATAACCCTATAAAGCTCCTGTATACTACGTCTAACTGGCTTATTGCAGCTATGCCGCCTGTCAGGCCGGCACCGAAGAGTACGCAAAAAACACCAAACCTTGGGATCGGGTTTTGGGGTTTGGGGTTTAGGGTTTAGGGTTTAAGGTGGGTAGAGGGTTTAGGGTTTAGGGTTTAGGGTGGGTAGAGGGTTTCAGGGTTTAGAGTCATATGAGCTGTAGTCTATATAAACTCCTAGTATGCCTCTTAAAAAGCCCTAGGATACTTCCCTATCTAGTCCCCTATACACTTAAGGAGTTTCGACTACAGTACATATGGTTTAAATTAAAGGTTTACGGCTTTACGGTTTAACCAGGGTTTTCTTTTGGGGGATGTTCAGGGTCTGTACAGTTTGATTAAAGGTTGGGGGTTTGCACACGGCTTAGGGTCGAGAGTTTATGTGGGGCATAAGGTTGAATATGGGGTTCACGGCAGTTCACGGTTTAGGGCATCAGGCTTTCAAAAAATGTATATTCCGGCACGGAGAAGTTTGGCGCCGCGCCACTTGAATGTCGCTGGCTCGGGCATGCATCAAAAAGACAAACAGCTAAAACATCTAACAACAGCCCCACCAACCTGTGGGGTGTATACTGCCTACTGCTTACAAGGTTCCCTCTTGGGAGCTCAACACTTGAGAAACGACTGCAGGGAATCAAGAATCCGTAAGTGACGAAGCTGGGATATGTCCCTAAAACCCCGTAATCCCTAAACGCTACCCTAAACACCCTGGACCCTAATCCCTAAACCCTGATCCCTAAACCTAAGCCCTGAAACTTGCAGAAGAAGGTCCAATTTTGGAAGCAGGAGGTTTGGGTTCCGGCCCACCGGAATCCTAACTTAGCCCAGGGTTTAGGGTGTAGGGCCTACCCAGCGGATCTTGAAGGGTGGGTAAGTGCAAGGTGTGAACCTTGGATTCTACACCCAAAGGGCCCATGCAGGTATATAGTATAGGGTATAGGGTTTATACGGTTTAGATATAGTATATACCGGGGCCCTAAGGTAGATATATGGGCACTCTTTAGGGCCCGAGGTATACACTATATATACCTACATGGACTCTTTGGGACAATAGAGGGGCTCATTCTGGGTTGCTACTAAGGAACTTAAACTAAGTTACCATGGTGGGAATCTATAGTAGATAATAGGGTTTCACAATTATATCCACAAAAATATTAAGTTCCGTAACAGCAACCCAGATTTTGTGTGTACTGTATGGTGGAGAAGCAAAGGGCTCAGGGCGAGCTAGATGCACAAACAAAGTTTGAGCCTTCTGCAGGAAGCGCGCGCCTTGCCGTTTCACTGAACCTGAAACCTGTGAAAATCCTGAGATTGCCTTCTTCTCAGCTTGCAATCGCAATCTTGTAGCGGTGCAAGTGCATCAGCAAGCTGAATTCTTAGAGAGTAGTTCAGTAGCTGGAGCTACGGGACTCGCGTCTACTTCGGCAACGCAAAGAAAGCTCCAACCCAACCGGCCAACACCTTAGTGCCTTGCATACGGGCCCTGGTTGAGGATGCTTCAGGAATACAAACCTACAAGACATGCGCCGGGATGCTTAAAGATGGCATCGCATACACGCAGGAGGATGGTGGTGAAATACTTTGTGGCCCTTGACATTGTCATTCCTTGCCGACGAATCTGCGTGGTGCCTTGGTCTGCTATGAACGTGCCACCAAAAAGACTACAGCCCAAAACACAAATAGTAATAATCGTAATGTTGTGATAATAATAGTAATAACAGGATTAATAAGAATAGCGCCAATAATAATAGTAATAGAAAGCATAGTAATAATAATAGTAATAATAATTATATTAATAGTGAGCTTCATACCAATACTAATAATAGGAAGATTAATGCAAACAACTTTAACCACTCCGTGTAAATGCTTTCAGCTTTCAGCCTCCTGCATGTCAACATCTACTTTCTGTGGTGATGTTAAGGAACTTATATTGGAAGTTACTATATTGGGGAACCCCCATCGCTTACTCTATATATATATATATACACACACACCCCCATTCTGGTAGCTTAGTATAAGTTCTTTGGCAGCAACCCAGACTTTGGAAATACAAGCCCTTGAATATGTGCGAGGCTCTCATGAAGGTGAGGTAGACCACCGCTTGAAGAAAGCCACAGCCAGAAGAGACCATGGACGGAAACAGCACATTCCTTGGGGGCTTGGGGCTTAGGATTCATAACTTGGTTTTAGGCTTTAGGCATGTTTAGGCTGCATGGTTTAGGGCTCAGGGTTTATGATGTAATAAAGGTTTACGGTTAGGCTGGAGAGATGCTGTAGCAGCTACTGAAGAAGCGTGGTGGATACATAGCTGCGTACGGGCTTGGGATATAAGGTGACCCAAACCGTAAACACTGAACCCTAAACCCTAAATTCTAAAACTAGCAGCAGGAACCTGGATTGATGATAAAATGCTTCAGTTACATCGTCAGTAAAGAAGGAAACTAGCATACATATGTATTTACACATGTTCGACAAACTTAACTGAAGCTCCCTAGCAACACTTAGCAGCACCTTCTCTACTACTTATACATATACACATATGTATATGTGATTGCTCATTTAATCTGTCCATCTTGAAGAAATTCAACTGCCTTAGCAGCAATGCGGGCAGACCCCCGTTTTCAGGCTCGGCAGTTTGCATACTACAAGGTTGGAGCAAGGCGCCTACGGATTTGTCAACGGCTCTGCTTGGAAAGTACCAGATGGGCTTAGCGTTCAGGGTTCAAGTAAGAAAGGTGGGCCAATATTCACCCCGATACCATGCAAACTTACACAAAAATGCACAATTTTCTTGAAATACCAAGCTAATAGTCAGACAAGAAGCCGTGGAAGGGGAAATAGCGTGGATGTGGGATATCAGGCTCTAGAAGGGTTGGGGTTAGTGCCTATCTTGGGCTCACCCAGGTCTTTAACTTTGAGCCAAATTCTGGTGCCCCTTTGTAAAGGACCCCCCTTCCCCTAATGGGTTCCTATGTATCTCAAGTCCTGGCATGGGGCCTGCCTGCGAAGAAACCTAAGGCTCAAGCCCCAATGCCAAAATTACTGGACAAAACAAACAAGCCCAAGTTTCAAGAACACCTGATACGACTGGCCGTCAGCAGATTGGCTTAGGTTCACGAACCTGCAAATCATGGTGGCTCAGGCAGGGTCCAGTACTACGCCCAAGCTCCCCACCAGCCCATGTGGGTGAAATTTGTGAATCGTTTCACTGCTGGTATCTGCTGCTGTATCTGCTGCCGCTGCCGCTGCCGCTGCCGCTGCTGCTGCTGCTGCTTTTTTCTTTTTTTTAAGCTAGGGTACCCACTGTTCCCATGTCCCGTGTTGAGCCTATAATCTTTTTACTATTCCTACTCGGCCTTGCGCTCGCATGCTGAATGAAGCCGACCAGGAGGAGTGCCCGGTTCCCCATTGAATCCATGGTTCCTTGGGCAAGGGAGTGAACCCTGCTGTTGAACCTTCAGTCTGAGATTTTGTCTTGTGATTCACGATTTCGGGGAGGGGCCGCTTAACATCTACGCCTTGAGGCTTATCACCATGGAGTTCCGTTAGGTGTGACAGCGAGGCGGGGGGGGGGGAGAATTGAGAATTTGCCTTGCCAACATACGTTAGAGTTGATGCCTCACTTAAGTTAGTACTAAACTGCCACTCAGCCACTCAGAACTACGGAGGTCTCGTGTGTTTCCCGCGATGCAGCTTGCAAACGGCAGCGCGAGAGACACGACTGTGATCCAAAACCGTACTAGCTGCCGTACCGCTGCCCAGGGGATGATGGAAAATATACAAAACACATGACATGGGAACCCGAGCGTGACCATAATCATATGGGTGGTTGTCAAAATTATGGTCCCTGTTTGGGTACCTCAAATTTTAGGTGCCGTATTATGATAGGGATCCAAAAAGGGACCATGATTTTGACAACCACTCATATCATATACAATCGCCTTAGCGGGCCGAGTGCGCCCCTTGAGCATGTTCTTTCCGAACCGGGGCTCTGCTCACGTCCTCCATGTACGTGGAGTCCATCGTAATAACCTCATCACTCAGCTCATGGGAACTTCTACACGAAGTTATGGGTAGACCAACTAGCCGCCAGTAAAATCCAGTTCAAGGTACTGATGCCCACCAGTGGCATTTACCTTTCCAGGATGAAAAAGGCCCGCAATCTTGCCATGTGAACCAAGTAAGGGACAGACAAAAGCATATTTGGAAGCACATTCTGCAACAACACATGTCGAATTTGGGCTTAGACCTGCTTACTTGTCTAACGTCCAACATGATCAGACAGCATGTTCTTAAACTAAGGATCTGCAAGCACACTGCTGACTAAAGCGGGAGGAGTGTTGGCAAGGTCTAACGCGTAGAAATCGCCCATGCTGGGCATCTTCCAATACCAACAACGTGTCAAAACCCTCAACAGGGCCCGTGTGAGTTGCGATGCTGCTTCACGCGCTGCACGTCCATACTATACCCTCAAACCTTGAACGCTACAACCCTACTACCCCAAAAACATACAACCCTACCACAACTCCACAACCCATGAAACATCCTTATGCACTGCCAGCTATTTTTGTGGATTGGTCCGGCGCCTGAAACCTTGAAAACCCAAGGTGTTGCATCAGGTTACTGGAACTGGCCTTCAAGGTGCTTCCTTACGGGGCTATGATAACTCCTGGTATGTCTTGTGGTCACTCTGACTGCAAGGAGGAATGACTTAAGTACTGCATGATGACCACACTAAATCGTCTAGGTGGGGTCCTATAGGCAAGATTTCGGAGTCTAGGACCTAGGTCCTAGGTAGGTGCCAATAAGATGGTCCTGTTTTAAGGGGATAGGGGTCATATGGGGTTCTAAGGAAAAATCAAACGTGGAAAACAACATGGAAACAGGGGTTATATAGGGGGGCCTAGGGGGAGAATTGCCAGTAACGTGTTCCATGTTTCTTGTGTAGTTGTAGTGCAGGGTACTTCGCACAAACCTTTGTAAACGATACCGGTGGCTACTAAAGATTTTTTAGGCCCCTGCTGTACGTGGGGTGGTGTGGCAGCAAAATCTCCAAACCCTGAACCCCAATCCTAAACCCTAATCCTAAACCCTAATCCTAAACCCTAAACCCTAAACCCTAATTAAGATCTGCCCATGGAACCGCACCATCCTCTTCACCGTCAGCTTCTGGCAGATGCCGGACCATGCCGCGGATGGTAAACCTGATCAGGCTGCTCCTTTCGGGACTACTAACGGTTTAGGGTCTAGGGTTTAGGGTTTAGGGGCCCTAAGGGTCCAAATGCCAAATATTTAGGTACGTGGAATTTGGGTAATGGTAATTGTACTACGGTTTTGGGTAAGCATATGCGTATAAGGTACTTGGACCTTCGGGAAGATTTTTGGATTCGGGCAACTAGCGCGACAGAGCGAATATCTGGGTGATTCCGGATGCACGTCATCCCTGCTACACGGAAAAGAGAAGAGGCGAGAGGATTACCAAGGCTGTGCCAAGAAAGTTGGGTTCAGGGTTTCGGACTCAGGGTTTAAGGCCTAAACACCATCCAGCAGCCACGCCCGTGCACCCATGATCCTTTGCCACTGCATCTAGCAGCGGTGCAGGTGGGGATTCAGCTTACGAGCATTTTGGGCGGGATTATGCGCACGTGGCGAATCTTCCCCAACATATCCGTTGCATAGAGCCGCCATTTGTCCCCTTTCCCGGCAGTCTGAATTTATAAGTGATATCTAATTTGGGCCGCAAAGTCTCTACATGCTACTTACTTTGGGGAGTTCGGTTCCCTAGCGTTTGATATGCATGTATACAAGATTCTGGATGCCCGTAACTGTCGGCTCAAAGGCTTCAATCTTTTGAGCCTGTAGCAATCTCTTCTGTAGCCCTCATGGTCCGGGGTGGTCCCCAGCCTAGATAAGCTGCCATTAGCTTTTGCCTGTTTGATCACCTTGCGCTAATTGGGGTTTTGTAGTTCCAGCAGTTCCAACAATGCTTTGTGGCTCCGGCTGGCTTGCATCGCATGTTCTACGTCGTGGGACAGGCAAAAGTATCTTGCCAACTACAGTGCCATGCACTAGGTGAGGCTGGTCTGCCTAACAGTGCCGGACCCCATTTTTGCTCAGCCCTCTATGACTTAGGGGCTTAAGGCGAGTTGGGGCCTAGATCCCGACAGTCATATATCCTTGTGAACCCCTAGGGCTCCCAGTGATCTACATGATAGGTAACTGGTATGCAACTATAGGGTATATAGAATCTGGAACCTAGTATCGAACCCTTGGCCATCCAAGAAGCCCCACAACCTGCTGCCATGCAGCCACAAATCCAACGCGAAGGCTATGCCAAGAATGATCAGCATGTGGTAGCCTGTCAAAAGGTCTATTTTGCAGGTTGCCGGTTCAGTTGTTTTGGAGGCTGGACTTTTGGGCTAAGACCCTGAAAGCACAAAATGAGCTAGTACTGAGCTGTTGGGTACGTTGCTAATCATGGATGGCTAGCCCGTCGAAACTGCGCCTTACTGTCCGTATGTGAAGGATTGCGGCCGATCCTGGAATCTGCATCCAATGTGTAGAAGTCATCTGGTTGCAGGCTGTATGCTTGGTAGCTTCTGGAGGGGGTCCCAGGGTACAAAGCAATCTACTGCTCACTACCCCGGAACCATGACTTGATAATATCACTTGCAGCAGCGGAGCCGACGACAAAGTGCTTGAACGTTTCGAGCGACTCCATGCTCCTTGTGGTTGGGTGTGCTTGGGGTGTGGAAGGTTGGGATTTAAAGGTCCTGAACATCAGCCAGAAGTGAGTATTTGTACTTAATGCCAGCACTAGTATCAGCGCCAGTATTCACATTGAGCAGTAAGAGCTGTCCAGCCTGAGGCAGAAGAGGCAGCTGCACCGTGAAACTCTATTCGACCCACTTGAATCAAGCCTTTTGCATGCTTGACATGGTGATCCCTTCATGTACCACTGAAATCTGAAACACGTGTGTAACATAAGGGCCGACAGCAAGAAAGGTCCACGACTTTGAGACCCCCGAACTGCGCGCCTCCTTCCAAAACTAAGGCATGATCCCAACAAGGTCCCTACTCTACTAATGTAGAAGCTTCAATAGTTCCAAAATGTTGCAAGTATTCGGTTGTGGTCTGCTTGAGGCATCCTAAACTACAGCTGTACAAGGACCCTGTTGCCACAACATTGATACTTATCTCTCAAAGCCCTGTATATATACCTAGTTTGCATTTCTTTCTATCGCTATGACCCTATATAACCAACCCATTCAACCCGTAAATATTCCCCCGAAAAAGGACTGTACTATTAGTAATCGTTTGGGCCCCTACAGCACTGCCTTACTCCAGACAAAATCAGGAATAGCTTCGAATCTGGCGGAGGGCTAGGATTGTAGACCTGGCCCATCAAAGGCATGGAGCCGCAGTAGAGGTAGAACGCGAACCTAACAGATTCTAACAGGGCTCTGTAGGGTGTACCCTAGGGATCCAAGAATATAAATAATACCTACATTGGGCCCTAAAGCCTGTACATATTACCTACATTGGCAATTTGGATCCCTAGGGTTTAGGGCCCAGGGCTTAGAACCTACCACGTCAGGCCCCATGAAGTGGCAAGCAATGCCTAATAGAACTCTTCCAGCCGCTGGCCCAGCAGGCTGCTAACACAGCAGCTACATACTCGACTCAGGTCAGCTTACCTTGTCCCTCTTCTGCAACAGTCATGGGAGAACTGGTTGGGATTTGGCACACAGCTGACACAATGCTGACACACAGAGAATTCAGAAGTGAAAAGCTCTTCTCTAGGCCTCGTAAAAGGTCACATTACAATTACAATCTCTCGAACCGGGTGCTGCGTCGGAAGGACGGGGTACAATTGCGGTGTAAACTCTGTGCACTAGACGTGTGATTGACCCAACCAGGACACAAACAGCCTCAACCTAGATCACCTAGACTCCGGCTAGATATCTAAACCTGCTACTGAGCCCCGGCCCCCTTAACCCTGACCCTAGCAGCCAGCGCCCCGAAACGTCTCATAGTGGAAGGGGTTTCCATAGTCAGGGCCCCAATATGTAGCGCGCCGTGCCAGAATCTTCATTACAGGGACTCCCCGAGGAGGATCCCAAGTTTCTGGAGACCCTAATCCCTACAACCCCTTACATAAGCCCGGTTTCCATTGTTTTTTTCTTGTTCTTTTCCATGTGATTCTCCATTGCTCGGGTCATATCCCCTAAGCCCGGTATAATCCCCTCTTCGCCCATCGTGCTAGGGAGGTTTCAGGTGGGCAGTTTCCCCCTTATACGCCTTCTATAACCCTTTCTTAATCTAGCCCTTGTATAATCCTATTGCCCCCATATGAACGTATATATATATATAAGCCTTATGTCAGGGCACCCACCTGGTAACCAATTACCTGAAAACTCCCTAAACTCTGATCCCCAAACCCTAAACCCTCAATAGTCCCATTTGGCTTTGCCCATGTAAACCCTAAACCCTGAACCCATTGTACCAGGCACCTGTTGCACCAATATGCCAAGCTTGCCACGGTCAGGCAGGACGAACGCCGGTGCAAGGCCGCGAGGCGTCGCTCCTTTAGGTCAGAGGGTCTTAGAGCTTGGGGTTTAGGGCTTATAGGGCTTGGGGTCTTGGGGGTTTAGGCTTTTTGAGTTAAGGATTGATGGTTAGAGGTTGGCAGTTCAAGAACCGTCTGCTAAGGGTTCAAGGGGGTTGTCCTCAAGGTTTGGGATAAGAGTCCCACTTTTGGAATCCTACCATGCCAAAAGTTTTTCCAGGCGGTTGACGCACGTAAGTTCACATTCTTCTGGTGAAAGGTGATGCCCCAAGGGCCTTGGGGCATAAAATCTTACCTTACATGGGGATGGTCGTATCTCTATTTAAACTACTACTCATTTAGCTCCTTAACGTCTTAAACGGAAGGTACAGTACATGGCCAAGGCTTTGTACTACCAAGGAGTCATGCGGGAAGGGAGATGATCAATGCCGTTAAAGCTCTTGGGATCGCAAGGGCAGCTTTGCTAGAGTTAACATATGGTAGGATTTTAACTGGTGGTCCCCTAAAACAGACACCAACAACTACAAGCACCAATGTTCCAAAGTAACCCCCATGTACACTCACCCAAGCACATAAAGAATACCCTACTTCACGCGTCTGGGTCGTGTCGACATCGAGATCGAACGGATCCTCCCTTGCTTCACTGCGTCCAAATGGAATACATGGGGAGGGATCGCGCGTGCGACTTTTCGTTACTTGGAGGTAGCACAGGACTTAGGGAGCTTATATGCTTGGGTAACAGGGGCAAGTGTATGGGAAGGGGCAAGGTGTCTTTTGACCAAAGCACGGTAACGGTTCCATTTTCGATGAAAACCGCATCCACTAGAAGCCTTGAATTGCAGACTTGCACCCGTCGTCAGGGTGTTTGCTACCGGAGGTCCAGGCATGGGAAGTACAGTGCAGCCCGGCATGTTTCAGAGTCTTTATTTGCAGGACTTTGGGCAAAGGGAGCACGATTGGGTTGAGACGCTTGTTCTGCATGAAATTAGGTGCTATACGGCTCTTGAGGCTGGAAACCTCAGCTGCAGATACAAATCGTCACTCAAGCCCCACCCCATGAAGCCCGAAGGTGAAGGTCAACTCCGAATCATCCCCAAATACTTACATCTGGTGACGAGATATTTCCCAACAATGCATTTGTTTCCACGTTCTTTTCCATTCCTTCATTCCCTCTTAACCAGACGGACGGCCTATACAACCCTGATAACTCTATGTAATCCCAATAGACCCCTATAGGTAGGTACTAGCGCCTCTCCTGGCAGGGCTCACACTCATCGACTGACAGATGCAAGTACCTGGGAAAACAGCAGATGAGAGATTCTAATGGGGTTGTATGGCGAGATTACCCCAATGGTGCGGAATCAAACTGAAAAGAATATGCAAACTCAGTGAAAACTACTCTGGGGTTTAAGGTTGCTCTAAGTCTCTCCAGATGGGGGGCCGCCAGAGACTCCAGGGATGTACACGGATTACGAGAGGATTATGGGGAGTTCCTTGTTAAGGTCCATATAGGGGTTGTTTTAAGAAATGTCCAGATCAAGCTGAAGGGTCCAAGCCCGAGTTTAAATATTTCAGCATCTGAATGGGTCAAGTCTTAGAACTTGAAGTGGGGAAGTCTATCCGAAAAAGGTCTACTTCATGGCAACACACAGCACTTGCAGATCTCCATGGCATTACCGACAGAAAAGCTGACACTCCAGAGCGATATCGTCTTCGTGAGTTCTATTGGGCCCTTTACATAGCTAGGTACACTACTCTTTGTCTTGACCACGACACGCAAGAAATTCCAAACTCAACCCATAGCTTCTGCCGTGTCACGCAGTAATGCCCGAGCAAAGCACGCTAAAGGTGAATGCGCCCAACAGCAAGAAAGGGTACCTGAGGCAAAGACGAGCTGCATCCCTTCCGCGGGAACTCTGAGTTTAGTGACCTACAGGTTTTCTGACTTGGTTTAGCTCAGTGGTGGAACTGCTTGGAGGTGCACTGGTAGTAATATGTGGGCTGAGAAATGGCGTTCATCGGGCTTGAACTGCCTTGGTTCATGTGTAGGGCTCTCCATATAGAAGCACCCAAAAATTCACGTGCCCCTCCCAAATATCCATAGCAATAATCTATGTGCCAGTAATTTGAGGGCGAAGGACCTATCTACCCTAAACCCTAAACCAGAAGGTCCTAGGTCCTAAAACGCTAAACCTCTAAATCATAAGCCCTAAACGGAAACAGTAAATCCTGCAGACCCAGGCTGAGGATAGCCAAGTCAGAGTTTCCTTACCTACTGCTGATACTAAAAAATCGTGCATGACCTTTGGTTTAGGGCTTAGGGTTCAGTTTACTATACTGACAGAATTCTCAAAGTGTACTATACTTAGAGGATGTGCGGTATCTACCATCTGCAGGCCGCTTTTATTTGCAAGCAATCCCAAGATCCTAGGATGGTCATCCTTTTTGTGGGGAAGGTTTATGGCTTGGGGATTGGGCGTTCAAGCTGAACTCTGGGATAACCAAAAGCAATCATTTCCACAGTGGCCCCGGTTTGCTAGGATTCGCCGGCTAGTGTTAGAAGGGACGCTCTATGCAGTACCAGTGTACACATGCTACACATGGCAAAGAGTTTGTGTCTGGTCTCTGGAAGTCTTAGTCTACATATACTTGGGAAAGCAAACCGAAGGTAATGTAAGAACTCTAAATCGCCTGTTTCAAGAACATCAATGTGCGCTTGTACTTTGCACGTGTGTAAGTTTCGCATACCATACCTGAATGGCACTCCAATACCAACTCCAGGCGTCCCGGATTGCCTTCGAATGTATGACTGTTCGTCAGTCATTAAACCCTAAACGATGCTAGCGAAGAGATTCCGAAAAGCATTGGCGGAACGATTTTATCTTTAGCTGTTGCTTGCGATGCATGACCGACATCAAAGACCTGGACCCTAGACACCTTACCCCCACATCCAATATTCAACCTTATGTGGTAATCTCCATAATTAGGGGGACCCCAAAATAGATTCCAAAATACCTCATTATCGGACCCACCAAAGGGGACCCTCCCATTTTTACAACCCCCATTTAACCTGAGCCAAGATGCAATGGCACTCTCTCTGCATTTGCAGCACTCTGTCTGGACAGCTCCTAAGTCTTAAGGTTTAGGCTTTAAGGTTTAGGGTTCAGGGCTTCAAGTCCACGGCTGGTGTTTGATAAAGCTTGTCTCAAGGCTTAAGGTTTTTCAGTTCAGGATTTAAGTCTGTACTTTTCAGGTTTGCCACCATGGGCATTGGGTCCCAAACCCACAAGGTACAAAGAACAAAGTCTCTCATCATCTGGAAGACCTGAGATCATTCTGTCTGCGGCTGTTCTCCGCGCCGCATGCACAACTTGCAGCCTAACTCACAATAGCAGGATTCCCAGAGCAAGCCTGATGGATACCCTAAACCCTAAACCCTAAACGCGCAGCATTAAAGGCCCCTTTTGGGCCTTGTCTGACTGCAGCCCTCTGGACTCTGCAAACTGGCGCCCCAACTTCCCCCCCAAGAAATCCACAGCCCTGGCAGCTACTAGTGAGTGTGGAGGTCTGAAATGGCCTAAACTACCAACATCCAGTATATGAGAAATTATGAGGATTCTGAGGGCAGAATGCTTCAAAGTTGCCTAACCCTAGGCCTCCAGTTGCCTAAATAATGGATTCCGGGTTCTATATACCCTGTAGTTACATGGCCCAGTAACCTACTATTTAGGTGACCGGCTGCCCAAGGGCAACTTCTACAGCACATCCCTATACCTGTATCCTTTGACACCAAGCCCAAGGCTCGTAGTATGCAAAGCCGGCAATGAACCCACTCTGGCCCGCCGCAGCATCCGCGATGTGTAGCGCTGCTTT